ACCGCCGGAGGCATTCATATAGAGTCATATCTTGTTCTAAGTTTCGAGTTGTAATCCTTATGTTGTAATAAATAGAAGTGTGATGATCATCATTATTAGAGCATTGCCCAAAAAAAGAAAAAAAAGAAAGGCCAAAAAAAAGAAGAAAGGCCCAAAAAAAAGAAAAGAAAAGAAAAGAAAAAAGGGCAATGCTACTATCTCTTTTTCACACTTGTGCTTCAAAGTAGCACCTTGTACTTCATGTAGTGAGTCTCATATATTGTGCTTCAAAGTAGCACCTTGTTCCTCATGTAGTGAGTCTCATAAAGTTGTCCTTTTTATACTAGTGGGAATTTTTCATTATAGAACTTGGCTTGTATATTCCTACGATGGGCTTCCTCAAATGCCCTAGGTCTTCATGAGCAAGCGAGTTGGATGCACACCCACTAGTTTTCTTTTGTTGAGCATTCATAGCTCTAGTGCATCCGTTGCATGGCAATCCCTACTCCTCATGTTGACATCATTTGATGGGCATCTCCATAGCCCGTTGACTAGCCTCGTCAATGTGAGACTTTCTCCTTTTTTGTCTTCTCCACAAAATCCCCGTCATCATATTCTATTCCACCCATAGTGCTATATCCATGGCTCACGCTCATGTATTGCGTGAAGGTTGAAAAAGTTTGAGATTATTTAAGTATGAAACTATTGCTTGGCTTGTCATCGGGGGTATAGAAGTTGGGAACATCTTTGTGTGACGAAAATAAAGCATAGCCTAACTATATGATTTTGTAGGGATGAACTTTCTTTTGCCATGCTATTTTGAGAAGACATGATTGCTTTGATTAATATGCTTGAAGTATTATTATTTTTGTGTCAATATGAACTTTTGTCTTGAATCTTTCGGATCTGAATATTCATATCACAATTAAGAAGATTTACATTGAAATTATGCCAAAGTATCACTCCGCATCAAAAATTCTTTTTTTATCATTTACCTACTCGAGGACGAGCATGAATTAAGCTTGGGGATGCCTGATAAGTCTCCAACGATCAATAATTTTTGATTGCTCCATGCTACTTTATCTACTGTTTTGGACTATATTGGGCTTTATTTTCCACTTTTATATTATTTTTGGGACTAACCTATTAACCGGAGGCCCAGCCCAGAATTGCTGTTTTTGCGTATTTTAGTGTTTCGAAGAAATGGAATATCAAAAGGAGTCCAAACGGAATGAAACCTTCGGGAACGTGATTTTCTCACCGAACGTGATACAGGAGACTTGGACCCTACTCCAAGAAGTGCCAGAGGCGGTCACGAGGGTGGAGGGCACCCCCCTCGGCGTGCCCCCCTACCTCATTGGCCCCCTGCTGCTCCACCGACGTACTCCTTCCTCCTATATATACCTACATATCCCCAAACGATCAGAAAAGGAGCCAAAAACCTAATTCCACCGCCGCAACCTTCTGTATCCACGAGATCCCATCTTGGAGCTTGTTTCGGAGCTCCGCCGGAGAGGGCATCCACCACGGAGGGCTTCTACATCAACACCATAGCCCCTCCAATGAAGTGTGAGTAGTTTACTTCAGACCTTTGGGTCCATAGCTAGTAGCTAGATGGCTTCTTCTCTCTTTTTGGATCTCAATACAATGTTCGCCCCCTCTCTTGTGGAGACCTATTCGATGTAATCTTCTTTTTGCGGTGTGTTTGTTGAGACCGATGAATTGTGGGTTTTATGATCCAGTATTATCTATGGAAAATATTTGATTCTTCTCTGAATTCTTTTATGTATGAGTGAGTTATCTTTGCAAGTCTCTTCGAATTATCCTTTTTGGTTTGGCCAACTAGATTGGTAGTTCTTGCAATGGGAGAAGTGCTTAGCTTTGGGTTCAATCTTGCGGTGTCCTTACCCAGTGACAGAAAGGGTTGCAAGGCACGTATTGTATTGTTGCCATCGAGGATAACAAGATGGGGTTTTTATCATATTGCATGAATTTATCCCTCTACATCATGTCATCTTGCTTAAGGTGTTACTCTGTTTTTAACTTAATACTCTAGATGCATGCTGGATAGTGGTCGATGAGTGGAGTAATAGTAGTAGATGCAGAATCGTTTCGATCTACTTGTCTCGGACGTGATGCCTATATACATGATCATTGCCTAGATATGCTCATAACTATGCTCAATTCTGTCAATTGCTCAACAGTATTTTGTTCACCCACCGTAGAATATTTATGCTCTTGAGAGAAGCCACTAGTGAAACCTATGGCCCCCGGGTCTATTCTCATCATATCAATCTCTATTGCTTTATTTACTTGCTTTGTTTTACTTTGCCTTTTACTTTTTACTTTGCATCTATCTATCAAAAATATCAAAAATATTATTTATCATCTCTATCAGATCTCACTCTCGTAAGTGACCGTGAAGGGATTGACAACCCCTAATCGCGTTGGTCGCGAGTAGCTATCGTTTTGTGTAGGTACGAGGGACTTGTGCGTGGTCTCCTACTGGATTGATACCTTGGTTCTCAAAAACTGAGGGAAATACTTACGCTACTTTGCTGCATCATCCTATCCTCTTCGGGGAAATCCAACGCAGTGCTCAAGAGGTAGCACTAACTCATTAGTCACATTGCTTGCAAGGCTTATAGTGATGAGCATTACCGAGAGGGCCCAGAGATACCTCTCCGATACACGGAGTGACAAATCCTAATCTCGATCTATGCCAACCCAACAAACACCTTCGGAGACACCTGTAGAGCATCTTTATAATCATCCAGTTATGTTGTGACGTTTGATAGCACACAAGGTGTTCCTTCGGTATTCGGGAGTTGCACAATCTCATAGTCAGAGGAATATGTATAAGTCATGAAGAAAGCAATAGCAATAAAACTTAACGATCATTATTCTAAGCTAACGGATGGGTCTTGACCATCACATCATTCTCTAATGATGTGATCCCATTCATCAAATGACAACACATGTCTATGGTCTGGAAACTTAACCATCTTTGATTAACGAACTAGTCAAGTAGAGGCATAGTAGGGACACTCTGTTTTGTCTATGTATTCACACATGTACTAAGTTTCCGGTTAATACAATTCTAGCATGAATAATAAATATTTATCATGATATAAGGAAATATAAATAACAACTTTATTTTTGCCTCTAGGGCATATTTCCTTCATTATCCTGGTTCGGGGCCTCTCGAAGAGGTAAAACCCTACATCCTGCTTGGATTGTATTGATTTGATGGGGGTAGAGAGTGAAGGATGATCTACCTCGAGATCGTATGATTGTGTTCTAAACCCTAAGGCTTGTTATTGTACCCTTAAAGACTAAAACCCCTTGGCCTATACATGCATCGGGGTGTCTAGGTTACACCCAAGGTCGGTTGCTAACTAGGAAAAACACGCCGACTACTAGAACTTTCCTTGAAGTGTACGCCAAGTCTTCGAAATTTTCCATCTAGCTCACGCCAACGGTCACAGTTTCGGTAGCCCTTCCTCGAGTGGTCGGCGGGTCATCAGCCCGGCCCATGGACGATAAGCCGTACAGGTTGACACCCCTTAATCCAGGACACCCTCAGGAAGGAGAGTGAACCTGGCGTGAATGAATGATCGCGAGGGGGAGCAGCCCTGGCATGTATCCCTTTATATACCGTTGTGCAAGAGGGTACCTAAACCATAAGTTGGTTCGGATGCCCCCGATCAGGGCGCATTAGTTGGAGACGAGGTGCACGTATGTCGGTGCATGCGCCTCTCTCTTAACGTTATTTTCCTTTTTGTTAGGTTGTTGGATCGATTGGCATGTTAAGCCGTTAGCAAAACAACCATCAAACATCACACAATTAATGGCCCATGTGTGGCCCAACTTCTGTTACCATGCAGGGAAGTTTGCCTGATTGTAACCATAATGGAGGCCGGGCCTGAAACTCCAATTCACAGATTATTTTGTGATGTTACAATGTGTTTTACTTGTAAGAAGATGACCTGATACACTAGGTTTTGCTTATATATGGTGCTTATATGTCTAATTACCACAAATATGTTTGTATTGCCACAATTGAAAAAATATATCACAAAATTCATATATTATAATATAACCATTATAATATTGTGTAGTCATGGTTGATTAAATATGTTGGTTTTCTTATGTTTTTCCCTTTGGTTCAAGGGGTTTTCAAGTTCTAGTGAGCACCTGCTTCCTTTGCCGTTTCTGCACCGTCTTCGCTCGGTGTATGTTTTCGGTAGTATATGTTTTTGTATTCATTTTTGGCATTCTGTATTCGTTTTTGCTTTCATAGAAATTATGAAAACAAATGTGATAGCACCCATTTTCATCGGCTTTCGAGCCGTTTTCATCCCTAGGAAACGGCGCTTTGCGGTGCCGAATTTTTTCTATAACACTCTCCTTTGGTGCCGTAAAATAGGGTAGCTATTGAAAATGCTCTCATATCTTTATTTAGTGTTTGCCAAAACCATGAGCAAAATAATTGGTTCAACTAGTTCATACGGTCGCATCAACGTCCCAATCTCAAACGTGAACGTCGGTTTCTGGCCACATCCTGGAGCACAAGGCAACGCACGAATTTGACCATGTACTTCCTTCTTCCAAACGCCTTGTGAGCTAAGCAACCATTAATTACTCCCTCAGTTCGGAAATGCTTGTCAAAGAAATGGTTGTATCTAGACGTATTTTAGTTTTACATGCATTTATTTTTATGACAAGTATTTTCGGACGGAGGAAGTATTATACAAGAAACATACAATTGAGCCGAAGTTGACTTCAAATTGGTCACCTGTTCCCAATAATTGACCCTAGTTCATCGTCTCATCAATGTTCAAAAAGATAAAAATGGAACACGAACACTTATTTCGCACGTATTATTCATGAGCAAGTGCGTATGTGGATTAAGAACGGATACAACTCAACAAAATAATTAACGAGTGCTGCGATCTACGGAACACAATTCACAGACCAAGAAGCAACGAAATTACAAGGAGCAGCTCAGAATTAAAAGACTAGTACGGCTGCGGCGGTGTGACGGGTGTGTACCACCGTCCGGCCTCCTCGTCGATGCTGTCTGCGAGGCGATGCAGCAAGGCGTGCAGCAGGACGAGCACCAGCCCGACGAGCAGCGAGGTGAGGATGTTGCCGGTGGCTCCGGTGAGCAGGAGCAGGATGAGCGTGAGGGCCGAGAGGACGGCGAGCACGACGCCGTCACCGATGGTGTGGCCGAAGAGAGCGAGCGGGACGTCGCGGAGGAAGTAGAGGAAGACCCAGGCAACCATGCAGGCGAGGAAGACGATGAGGGAGAAGGGGTGCCAGATCAGGGAGAGGAAGACGACGCCGAGGACCACGATGGCGTAGTTCATGGAGAAATGCGCGAGGTTGGCGCGGGCGCGGAGGTAGGCGTCCCCTAGCCCCCGGGGCACGGCGAGGGCCTTTGGGTCGGCCAGCTCACGCCAGGGTTGGCGCGTCGCGAGTGCCGACGCGCCGCGGGCCTTGGCCCGGGAGATGAAGTCGAGCGGAGAGGAGCCGGGAGGCGGGGCATCCGAGGAGGAGGAGGAGGATATGGGGATGGTTCCGTACTTCCACATGGCTGGCTGGAGGTGGAGACGGCCGGTGGCCGGCGACGGTAGGAGGAAAACGTGTTGGGGTGGGGCGGACTGAACTCGACGTGTAGATGTGGGAGTCTGCAACCCGGCAGGTCCTATGCAGTATTATGCAATAAATGGGGAGGTAAACGCGTCGGTATGAAGGCTGGCAAGTGGGGATATGCGCTTAGGTGGACTTGTAGGAAGCGGCACGATCTGGATCGTGGACTCAGTTATACCTAGGCTTCCTTTTGGACAATCCAAAACCTCCTTTATTCAATCATGAGAATAGTAGCATCGTGTACAAGCATGTGGATCACAACCCTTATTTTATTTTTTCAAGCCTATCACTTTCATTGAAGAGAAGAGTATTACACGATACAACACATCCTTGATCAGTGAGAACATACTCATGACCAATCAATAGAAGAACAGCCATATTGGATGTAAAAATCTGGCGCCTAAATTAAGACCTACTCCTCATCAATGCCCACATCCCATCACGGCCCGCCATAGCTCAAGTTATCTTTGTTTCTGAAATTAAAACTTCTAAGATTCCCTCCACGGATCTTGTTAATAGGTTTGATGTTAGTAACAGTGTTGTGGTTCCTTCTAGAGGTTCTTCGGGTGGGCTTTGGCTTATGTGGAATGATGATCTCAAAGTTTCTGTTCATAGCGCCTCCTTTCATTATATCTTAGCGAACGTAGTTCATGTAGCTTCGGATGTTCACTTTTGTTTGATGTGTATATATGGTGATCCTTATCATAGGCAAACTGGTACTATTTGGAATCATGTTACCAATTTTGTGTATGACCACCTGGGTAAGCCTATGATCTGTATGGGCAACCTCAATGACATTATGTATGATGCTGATATATGTAATGGTAGTGTGAATTATTATCGTATGTCTACTTTCCGTTCTTTAATTAAAAATTGTGGTTTCTTTGATATCGATTATAGTGGACCTGCTTATACTTAGCGTAATAGACATCACACTGCTAATCCTATTTATAGACGTCTAGATCAATGTCTTGTTAATGCTGATTGGTGTGCTCACTATCCTAATACCAAGGTGCTTAATTTGCCCATTATTCTTAGTGATCATGCTCCAATTCTCATTTCTACGGATGGTAATTTCTCTAAGCCTAAACAAACTTTTAGATTTAAAAATTGGTGGTTGCTTGAGAAAGATTTTGGTGAATTTGCTAGATCATCTTGGAACACTGCTAGGTCTGCTTCTTTTTCGGCGAAATCTTCTTCTCTTGCAGGTTCTTTGAAAAAAATGGTGTAAGAAGAAAAAGCCAGTCCAGCAACAGTTGCAGGAGTTGGAGTCTGGTATTAATCAGATTCAAATGCTCCCTCTGCACCAGCAGGATCACTCTTTGGAAAACTCACTAATTCTCAGGTATAAGCATACTCTTTCTAAACTTAATCAGTACTACAAACAAAGGAATAAGAAGGGTTGGGTCAAAGATGGTGATAGAAATAGTAGATTTTTTCATCAAGCCGTGCTCAAGAGAAGGAAAAGAAATACTATATGTTCCATTAAAGATGAGAATGATGTCACCCATTTTAAACCTAGTCTCATTGCAAATACTTTTGTTAATTCTTCCAGATTCAACTTTCCTTCTACTAATATCAATGTTGGGAGACCTTTTCTTCGTACTCATCTGCCAGAAAATGTTGAGGATCCTACTTATTCCGTTCCATACAAGAATGAGATTTTGCAGATTCTAAAGGATATGAAGCTGAATGCCTCACCTGGACCTGATGGATTTAATGTGGAGTTCCATCTTGCTACATGGGAATGGATAGGAGATGAAGTTACTCAATTGGTGGTTAACTTCTATAGAACATGTATTTTATCACCTCACATAAGTGATACCAATATAGCTCTCATTCCCAAAAAGCTTGTTCCTCGGGTTCCTATGGATTATAGACCCATTAGTCTTTGTAATGTAGTTTATAAAATCATTGCTAAATCTCTGGCCAATAGACTGAAGCCTCACCTTCCTGATTACATTGATCCGGCTCAGCAGGCTTTTATTGAGGATAGAAGAATTAGTGCTAACATTATTATTGCTCAAGAGATTACCCATACTTTTCCTCTTAAATCTTGGAAACATCATGTTTTTATGCTCAAAATCGATCTTGCTAAGGCTTTTGATCAGTTAGAATGGAGCTTCATCGTGTCTCTGCTTACTCGTAAAGGGTTACATGGTCATTTCATTAATTTGATATATGCCTGCATTTCATTTCCGACTTTCTCTGTAATCATTAATGGTCAACCTTCACATAAATTTAAGAGTTATAGAGGGATTCGTCAAGGCTGTCCTATGTCGCCATATTTGGTTGTCCTTGCTATTAATGGATTGTCTCTTGCTCTTAATGATGCTCTTGCTGCTCACCAACTACAGGGGATTTTACTTGGACCAAATTGCCCTCATATTCACTCTCTTTTGTTTGCAGATGGTCTACTTGTTTGTGGAAAGGCAACTGTGCATGAAGCTGCTTCTATGGCTCAAATCATTCATGACTTTTGCTCGTTTTAGGTCAAACTCCAAATTGGTCCAAGTCGGCTATTATCTTTAGTGCCCATATTAATCAGGGTACTATTCAAGAGATTAAACAATTTTTTCCTGTTTCTAACATGGATAGTACTTTCACTCATTTAGGCCATCCTCTTATTCTCCCTGCAAAAAATAGAGCTGATGTTTATAATTTTGTTTTTGATAGGTTTACGAATAAGCTTCCTGCATATAAAGCTAATCTGCTCTCTCATGCTGCTAGGCTTGAGCTGATTAGGTCGGTTTTCTCTACTATTCTTGTGTACTATATGGCTAATATTTTATTCACCAAGAAAATTATTGCCAAACTCACTGCTATTATCAGGATTTTTTGGTGGACGGGAATTAGAGAGGATAATTCCAATAAAAGTCTTTGTCTTAGGGCCTGGAAAGACATTTGCAACTCTAAGCAAGAAGGTGGCCTTGGTATAAGGAATTTGCAAGCTATCAATGAAGGTCTGATTCTTACAGCTGATTGGAGACTTGCTAAAGCCCCGTCTTCCCATTTACATCTTGTCCTTAAATCCAAATATATCCATGACACCTCCATTTCGACAGCCACTCCAAACACTCCTAAATCAGCCTTCTGGTCTTCCATTTTAAAAATGCTTCCTATGCTCAAAGCTCATTCATTTTACCAGATCACGCAAGGAAATATCTCTCTCTAGAGTACTCCTTGGTGTTCTCATTGGGCTTCTATTCATGATCATCTCAATGTTCAGTCTCCCGGATATAGATACCCTTCTCTTGTTAAAGACCTTTGGCTTCCGGGTCAGAAAGTCTGGAATAACAATCTCATTCACTCTCTTTTTCAGCAACCTTTAGCTTCTACTATTGTCCAGACTGAAATTATTCATGAAGATTGTCCTGATATGCTATGTTGGGATCTTACTACTAATGGAATTTGTTCTTCCAAATATGCTTATCGATTGTGTTTGCAGGATATTCATGCAAATCCGAGGAATGCCCCTTCTCAAGTATCCTTGCAGGTTAAAAATCTTCTAAAGTTCATTTGGAAGCAAAAGCTTATAATTCCCAGAGTCCAAACATTTGATTGGAGACTTATTCGGAAAGCTCTTCCCACAGGTTTTAGGGCTGGTCATTTTTCTATACATATTTCTGAACTTTGCTGCAGATGTGGCCAACAGGAGAATGAGATTCACCTCTTTTTTCTTTGTGATTTTGCTAGAGCAGCTTGGTTCGGCCATCCTTGGTATATTAGATCAGATGTTTTAGTTCAGAGTTATTCCAATATGCACAACATTATTCTTGCTTTAATCAACATGAACCATCCACATGCTTCTCTTTCAAACATTCTCAACTTTATGTGGTGCCTTTGGAAAGCAAGAAACGACTATCTTTTTGACAGAAAAAAGGCTCTCCCTCGCCATGTTAATATTGTTGCAAATTCTTTGTCTTCTGAATCTAATGATCTTCTTAATATCTCTCAACAATTACAGCCTCAGACTCCCATCCGGTCTTCAACTCCTACTAACCAAATTCCTTTGCAGGGTCATACATTTAAATTTGATCTTCTTATTGTAGGTTCCAAAGTTTACCATGATGCTGCTTTCAAATGTAAAAAAGTTCCAGGTTTAATGCAGGGATCAACAACTACTGGAGTTGGAGGATATCTTTCTTTGCAACACAATCAAATTGAAATAAATATGCAGCTTCAGGCGTCCACATCCATCACAAGCACACCTTTCCAAGATGAAGCTCTTGCCCTTCTTTTTGCTGCACAAGTGACCAACCGTCTTAATATTACCCAACCTACATTTTTGATTGTCTTTCTTTGGCTTTGGTTGCGGCAAGCAGAAGGATTTCAGAGGCTTATCCTTGGTCTATTAGGAAAACTTTGGCTGATTTCTTCCACTACTCTTCAGATCTTCAATTACAGGTAAGGATGGCAATTTTACCCACGGGTATGGGTACCCGCGGGTACCGTACCCGCATGGGCAGGGTATGGGCACACTTTTATACCCATGGGTAGTACCCATACCCTACCCATTAAGTAATGGGTAGGGTACGGGTATAGCCTTGTACCCGCGGGTATACCCATACCCTGCCCGTTTGTGAACTAATGTTAAGTTATCGTCAATTAGTCATTGATTTGTCATGTGACTCATCAACTCCTATTGACTTAAGGAGTATGGTGTGATTTCTAAATATTGATGGTGGTCATTTAAGCATCTACCTGTCATTGAGCTGAGATAGTTGATCTTTTTTTGCAAATGTGCTATCAATGAGCGTAAAATTTTGAACAACTTGTGTACTATTTGTTCTACCCGCTGGGTACCCAATGGGTACGGGTACTCGTCGGGTATGAGTATGGGTAAAGTTTCATACCCATGGGTACGGGTATGGGTAGAATTTTGTACCCACTAACTATACGGGTATGGGTATGGTATTGCTTTACCCTGCCCATACCCTAC